CAACTTATGAGATGGGCGAATGAGTTAAATATATCACCGTTTTATTATTGTATGAGAGATGAAATAAATGATCTCAAATTATAATATAATTTTACGCTATAACAAGTATACATACTTCCGTTCAAAAAGGAGTTCATCATTCTTCTTTGTACAAAGACTCTTCAAATAACTTATATTTTTCTATTCTTATGGATTAGAACCCACTGAAGAGGTAGTGCAATTGACAAATCAACCAATCAAATGTTCAACATTTCAAATTCAATTACCGGGACAAAAGTTTTGTGGACAGCTTTCACTTTGTGTTTTATATCAATTAAGTTTCGGAAAACAGTTTGAAGAAATTGTAAAAAATTTAACTCAATAAAAATGGCGAACAAGTTTGGATTAGGTTCTTTATCTTTAGAAACTAAAAAACCTAACACTACAGCGTGGATAAATAAAGCGAAACGTTACTTTGTGGATCAAATCGGAGACACTCTTCAAATATGAACAATTTCAAAGTAACTAATTTAAAATCTCCGGAAAACGATAATGACGCCGTTCACAAGAAATATTTACGGGATCAAATAAATTCAATTGAAGTAAATAAAAACCATTTAGAAGATAAAATAAGTAATGTTAAAAGATTCTTCAAACGTCAACTAAATAATAAAAATGTTATTAATGATACTAAACTGCAACAAGAGGTAAAAGGTTTAATAAGTTTTATTCAAAAACAATTGGTTAACGTAGCGAATAAAACTGAGTTACAAAATTTGATTTCATTAATATCTAAATTAGGGGATAAGATTGCAAAACAAAAATTAGACATTCAACAATTAATAGATAACATTCCAGATGAAAATGAAGATACGTTTCAACAGGAATTAAATGCTCTGGAAACTAAACTTAACAGTGAATAACAAAAAGATCTAAGAAATATTAAACAACAAATACAAAACATAGATGATAGTGAAATCAAAACCTATATTCAACAACTAATACAAAATATTGATGATAGCGAAATCAAAACCTATATTCAACAACAAATACAGAACATTGATGATAGTGTTATTCAACAACAGATAACCACTATTAATAACCTAGTTTTAAAACAGGACAAAAATATAGTCGCATTAGAAAAGTATCTCAAGAAAAAAAATAAATCATATTATTTCAATCTTCCATTTGGAGGTTTGAGTAATAAAGATGCTTCTATTATTGATAATATTGATAGATCAAGAGAGTATGAATATAAAAAATATGGATTTACAGCAAATATTAGAGTATATAAACATAGTGGTGATAATCCCTATGAAATGTTTGTTAGTGATTATTCTAGTGTTATTATTTTCCGAGGAAAACTTATAATTGAAATAACTTTTCCTTTTCAGGTAAAAGTTGATTCAATATTCTTCAGACAAAACTTATATATACCTAATAGAAAATTTAACGCTCATAAAGTTCTTCAGTTTATCAATGGTACAAAAAAAATGTAGAAATTAAAGAATTTGAAATTAACAACGAAAACAGCAGGAATGGTGACTTATATGAAATTAAAACGAGTGGAAAATATATAGATAGGTTTAGAATGTTAATCATACCAGATATTGAAGAAGATGATCTTTCATTTACTCATTTTGATATGATATTGGAAACGAAAAGTCCACCATCATTAAGTATTATTAGATATCCAGTTCCACAAAAAGAAGGAAATATGAGTTATGACTTTTTACGAACGACCGACTTTGAATACGTAAAACTATATTTTGTTAATAATAGTTATAAATTCGAATATAGCTCTTCAACTGATATTCATAAAAGTCAACAAGATAAAGAATTTATAATATTTTCATCAATAATTGAACGTAATGGTAGATTAGAAGTTGGAAGAATATATGTCACGTTTCTACTGTGACCTATATACTTGTAGATGTATGATAAAAATCAATATCGAAAAACCAAAATTTTCAGTTCATCTAAATAAGATTAATGATTCGAAAGAACAAATATCGCTTGTTACTGTAGAAGTTTTTATTATTAAACCTGAAATAATTATAACAGATAATGAAAAAATACTGCCTGGTGGACATCTTACTGGGCAACCTATTGTAGATGTTAAACCCTTTCCATCTTTTGCTTTATCAGAAGTTGACTTAATTTAATTACCTAAAAAAAGGAACTAGAAAGCAGACAAAACTACATGATAGAAAAACAAATCGAACTAAAAGAAAAACTAAAACATTTCAACAAATGTAGAAAAACATGGAGTTGAATTGATTCTGTTTTCAAAACATTAAGCACACTTCTAACAGTAGGGATAATGGTGGCAACAGCCGTAACCGATGGATTAATGCTTCCAATAATTGTCCCAACTGTATTAGCCGCGTTCATTGCCGTTCAAACTTCATCTTGTGGATTGATTACTTTAGGTTTTACATCAAAACAGAAAGCTCATTATAAAAAGAAAACAGAAATTTTAAATACATTATCTTAATAAATTGTTTATATATTTTTCGAAAGATCGAGAGAAGATAAGAACATAACCATTGAAGAATTAGAAAAATTCAATGAAATTTTAGAAACATTTGATGTAGAAATATCATCTATAAAAGTTAAAAATTCATAGTTAAAAATAGTTGCTTAAAAAGTATGAATAAAATTGAAATTTTAGACGATGAAACATTCATATCAAATGAACTTTTTTTCATTATTATTAACATCTCTGATGAATTTGATACGTTTAAAGGACAAATTGAATTAGATGGAGAGATAATTCAAGATGGAGAACACAAACAAAAAAATGGAATTTGTAGGCTTTAATGCCAAAACTTTTCGCAATTTCTTCGCATTGTGGATGTAAAATCGGATGCTTCTGATTGGTATTTTTTAGGAAAAATCATTTTACGTAGAAACAATTTCAAAGAAATAAAAAGATCAAAAAAGGGTAGTGGTGATCAAAAAGATAAATGAATATATCGGTATAAATTGTTATATACCAAGCGATGAATACTGCTTTGTAAAGTGCGTAAATCGTGTTTTAAACGAAGACTACACAAAAGAATTTCAACAGTTTTTCAAAATCCAACAGAAAAGGAGTTATAACAACTGCTAGAATCTGTGAATTCAATAAGAAATTTAATACTTATTTTCAAATTTATATGCCCAAACATAGGCATTTTCAACCAAAGAAAGTATCCGAGGAATTAGATTGTTATTTTACTTACATAAATCACATTTCTGTCTCATTAGAAGAAATAAAAAAACCTTGGGCATTAAAGAAATAGAAGATAATTACGATGAAAACGTATGGAGAACTTGTAAAGATGATAATGCGATAACACAAGTTTCACCTCTAAAACTAAACGTTTTTCCAACAATTCACGATGATTGTTTATACGCATGGGATTGCGAAACCAATAGCGAAAAAGAAACGAATAAAGCCATTCCTTATTCTTGCACGTTGATTAATTTAGAAAAACTAAGAAAAATGTTAGACAGAATAAAACATAACTTCCACATTTAAATCCCACTGATAAAATAAATTAATGAATATAGTAGAAATATTTGTGGGTAAAGATTGCATCGATCAAATGTTACAACGTTTAGGAAAAATAGATCAAAAAAGAATAACATTAATTTCTCATAACGGTAGCGGTTTTGATAACTGGATCGTGCTTAAAAATGCGAAAAAAATATTTACAGAATATTTACAGAAAAAATGGAAAACACAAAAACAAATAATGGGCAACTCTAATTATTCGCAAAATATTAATTTCATATGTTCCTATCAACATGAAAAATCTAGTTTAGCGGCATGGGGAAATTCATCTAATCTACCAATGAATTTGAGAAAGATCACCGATATTAATATTACAAAATACACCGAAGATAATTGGGAATCTTTAAGACACGAATGGGAACCTTACGCTAAAAGAGATACGTTATGTCTTGGAGCTTGTTTGATAAATATAACAAAGTTATGAAAGAAGTTGTATTCCAGAATATTTCCAATAATCTAACGGCCTCTTCTTTATCTTTAAAGGGTTGGTATTATTTATATCATTACCATAAGGAAATGGTTGAAGAAAAATGGTATGAAACTACTAGAATGGTTCCGAAACACACCGAAAAAGAAAACGTAGAAAAGGTTTACTCACATACACACCCTTTTATAAGATATTTTATCAGAAAATCCATTAAAAAGTAGAAGAGTTTCGGCAAATCGAAAAATATTTGAAACGAACAAAATGGATGAAATTTGTAATATATTAAGTGAATACACAGAACTCGAGAGTAGTAATATAATTGATTTATTTAAAGAATATAGTAAAAGTAAAAAAGATCAAACGGAAGTTAATTCAAAACTTATAAAAAAAAAATGTACTAAACTAATGGCCTTTGATGCTAACGGTTTATACGCTTCCGCCATGTCGGATTTAGACAGCGAATATCCGAGAGCGGAAAGTGGTAGACCGTTTCTACCGAAAGAAAATAAAGAATTTGTTAAGCTCTTTAATGAGCAGAAATTCAGACCTAGAACGGCTATTTTAAAAGTCTGGTTTGTATATCCTACCAAGATGTTCTTCCAAAGAAGGTAATAAGGAAACTGGCACTAAAATCAGGTTCAGAAATGGCTTCTGTTCAGAAATTGTAACATCGGTCGATATTCAAGAAATAGTTAAAGCCTGTGGACGAATTATTAAAATATTAGATAGTATAGTATACGAAGAAAATTTTAAATCTCCATCATATAGAGATTATATTTTAATTTTGAGAGATCTAAGAAATAAATATAAACGAGAAGGTAATATCGTAGGTAGTAATTGTATGAAATTATTCGGTAATTTATTGTATGGTAAATCTATTCAGAAGGATATAACTACATCGAGACATCTATGGAGTGAAGCGACTTCAAAACCCAACTTCGATTCACACGTCAAAAGCTTTCCAAATGTAAATGAGACTCAATATATCGTTGAGATAAATGAAGAAGAAAAAGAATTTGACTGTACACCTCACAGTAAAAAAATAGTGAATAATTTTATTCACGTAATAGATGGATTTTATAAGCCGGAAATATACTATATAGATACTGGGATAAATTAAATGAAGCTGGGCTGGTGTCCGAAAATGATTATTGTAAAGGAAAGAATGATTACGGTGATGGTGGGATTATATATGGTTTATATAGCGCCAAAAGTTAAATACAATATCATTCTAACTTCTGACGGTATTCTAAAAGAAAAGTAAACGTTTAAGGGTTACTCTAATGATAAGATAGCTGTAGAAGAT